AGAAGGGAGCAAAAAAAAAACGTGGGGAAAAAAACGCGCCTGATTTAAATGTCACACCTGAACGCTCACATCCTTTTAATTATGTTTGAAATTATGAACATTGCTCAACATCATGAAAATTAAACCTTATTTTCAATAAGCAATCCTGAAAAATATTTGGGGGTGCTTAACTTTTTTCCAGGTGTATATATGTATGAGATTTATATCTTACTAATGAATGTATAATAATAATAAATAGTGACATATACAATATATTATAATTGACTTGTTCAACTTTTGTTTTCATAAAATATTTCTGCCATTTTGAACTATGAATTATATTAGCCCCTCTCTTAGTAAAAAGTTGAGACACCCAACTGTGGAATTAATCAGGAGAACATGCTATTAAAGCAAAAAGGTGACTCCGATGTTTACAAAAGTTTTACTCACTGTATAAGAGGTTAGGCTATTTAAACTTCGGCTGTGATGTCCAAGTGTTCGAGGTTTAATTCGTTCCTCCTGCTCTATTTTGTCCATATCCAAACTAGAAGTTCGCTTGTGTTGTGTCTGATCATTCCGAAAAAAAAACAGACAAAGAATTTTAGAGTTATTTTTTATCTTAAATTAATATATTCATTCCATACTAAATTTATTCTTAAATAAATGTACTTGTGTATCCCTTTACAGTCTAAGGCTTGAATTAACATAATTTTGTATACACTATAAGTACAACAACAAAGTAACAATTATAAACATACATAAAATCACGATCCCATTAAATGTTGACCTTCACGATTTAGACACATCTTATAATACTGTTACGACAGCAGAAGTCACGTGATTCTGGTAACACATGATGAATTTCACGAATGATCATAAATTATCGAGGAAGACCGAGTTTGTTCGGGACGCCCTCTTTTTCAGTATATAAGCCTGGCAGAGAATGCTTGCAGGGAATGAATGAAGAGAGTTCCGGGTAATTTACGATTCTGTTTCGAGCTAGCGTGTGTTTTCGAGATTGTGAATCGCTGTGATTTATAGCGCGTATTATAAAAGTAGTTAAGTTTAGAAACGTACTGATTGTGGAATTACTGTGTGCTACAAGTTTGTATCGAGAAATATTAAACTGGTTTAACCAAGAAAGGACTTGTATCGTTGAAGTTTCTCGGAAAGAATTTCTACTGGAAATTAACAAACAAGCAGATACGCAACAAATTGGTGTAAGAGAGTGGGACGGAAAAGAAAAAAAAAAGATAGGAAACGAGAGGTGGCATATCAAACTACAACTTAGCAGAT